GCCTACTGATGTACTGTGTAGCGGGAGGACGACGGGGCACAATAAGACTAGGCCTAGTAGACAGTGCAATTATATGTGATAGAAAGTACACTTTCGAAAGAAATAAATTAAAATAAGAAAAAAAATAAATAACTAAGAATAATTCAGTTGCAGACGTACCTTGTTTAAGTATTATATAATGCTAACACTGCGGCTCTTGTAGCCCTAGCTAGGCAAGGCATCCATGTGCAAAGCAGTGGTGTTTGTTTATCAATCAAAAAACTAGGGGTGCTGCGTGATGGAGAGTAATGTGTGACCGGAAATGGTCTACCAGTTGGTTGTTACCATGCGCCAGTGATGTTGGAGTACAGCAAGATGAAACTATTTATGTAATGCATGAATAAAGTTCGGGGTAACTTGTCGGGTAGTGAAATGATTATTGTACATTTTAAGTGCTCCCTCCATGCATAAGTGTAAGCTAAATTACGGTGATTAATTAGCGAAGATATGGAAACAGTTATTTCGAAGTTCCCTCTTTTCAAGAGGGGATGCAAATGCTTTGTTAGACTTGCTACAAGTCTCTAATTTATGGATTTTTTGTAGTACATTAGCGCATTTCGGAAAGCGCCACCAGCGTCAGTTTATGTTGAGAAACTTTTTTGATGAGAATTAGAATCCTAAGAAAAAAGAATTAGAATCCTAATCCCAGAAAAAGTATACTATGGAACGCCATGCAAATAAGTAATAAATCGATTTATTCTTAAGCATTTCAACTGATTAAGACAAAGATTAGGGACTGGAACCCACTCTAATGCTTTGTGAAAATGAGTACGCCGCGGTACTCATTTTCACGAAGGAATACACTCAGCTGGTTAGCTAACAATATGCAAATTTACATGAACACCTGGGAAGAAAGGTGCAATCACGTTCTGTTGCTTAGCAAACGTCTGTACTGTAACGTTGGGGGGGGGGCGCTAGCCTACTGATGTACTGTGTATAGCGGGGGACGATGAAGCATAATATGACTAGGCCCTAGGCCCAAGTGCAATTATGTGATAGAAAGTACACTTTCGAAAGAAATAAATTAAAATAAGAAAAAAATTAAATAGGGCCTAAGAATAATTCAGTTGCAGATGTGCCTTGTTAAAGTATTATATGCTAACTATGCGGCTCTTGTAGCCCTGTGCAAAGCAGTGGTGTTTGTTTATCCATGAAAAAAGCACGCCGGGAAAGTTTGCCTTACCAGGAAAAGGTGACGTAATCTAGCTTATGACTTATGCATGCTAACTATAGCGTGAGTATGACGTCGCCAAAAAATAAAAGTTTTCTATTATAACCAAAATATTAATAACAACAAGGTTTGTGGGCGTGAATTCCCTTAATACGAATTATGGGTAGCACCATCTCCTTGCCATACAAATTACAGCTCCCGTTCCACTTCTGACTCTCAGTTGTGCTTCGCACACGCCGCTGAGGGCAGATAATGATCGAGACCTGGATTTACTATTAGAAACTGCGGGAGATTTTTCAAATAAATGGAAGCTCGCTTTTAATTACGAAAAATCAAATGTTCTAATTACAGGACAACGAATTAAAGTACATAGGAAATGGCGACTCGGGAATGGTTATATTTCTGAAAGTGAAACTTATAAATATCTGGGAGTACACATTTCTCGATCATTATCTGATACACAACACATAAATGAAGTTATTAAAAAGGGCAACCGTATTATTGCATATATTAAGTCAATACTAACTGAACAAGAAGACTTTAACAGAGTCTTTACGGGGACTTGCTATGGAAAACTATTGGATTGCCGACTATCAATTATGCAAGCTCAGTTTGGTTTTGCAATGGAAAAACATTGCCAGAAAAAATTGAGAACATGCAATACCAAATGGCAAGGATTATACTTAAAGCCCCAAGTAGTGTTGCCAAAGAGGCATTATACGGTGAATTAGGATGGCAAACTGTTAACTCAATTCAAAATGATTTTAGGGTAAAAAAAACTTTAATAGACTAAAAAATATGGAAGATGACAGATGGTCTTATTTACTTTTCAAAGCAATTTTTTATGTTCAGAAAAACTTAAAATTGCAATGGTTATCCAATATAAGAGATACTAAAACAAAGTCGATTCAATTTTATAAGTTTAATCAAGAACCTGCAACTGACTGGATCAGGCAATTTAGGAAAGAAAATAGAAACAATGATGATAAAGAGTGGCTTATTAGAGCTCAAAGTAAATAATCATTGTCAGAATATTTAATGTATAAAGGAAATCCACACTTTGAACAGTATTTGCTGGACAAATCAAACTTCAAAGGCATTAATTTAAAATTCAAAGCAAAATCCAACTCGTTAGATCTTGAAGGCCGCAAACAATCCTGGTCTAATCATAACACAGGCACATGTAAACTATGTACGGACAACCAAAAAGAAACACTTCTCATTTGACTGTACTAGATTAAATTTTATTAGAGATATTACATACTCAAATATTAGGGACAGTCTTCACGAAAGTGGTTTAAGTGTAATGGATCACAGCAATTTAAACGTCACCTTATGCTTGATGATATGTATATAGAAACTGTAACATTAGGACAATTTTTTGATTTCCATTGTTATAAAGAATATTTAATTAATGCATGGACTAGTAGATCTTTGATGCTATCTACATTACGCTCCTAAACAAATTAAAGTGTACTTTAGTTTTTTTTTATAAAGAATATTTAATTAATGCATGGACTAGTAGATCTTTGATGCTATCTACATTACGCTCCTAAACAAATTAAAAAACGTCACATTATGCTTGATGATATGTATATAGAAAATATAACATTAGGACAAATTTTTGATTTCCATTGTAAAGAATGTTTAATTAATGCATAAACTAGTAGATCTTTGATGCTATCTACATTACCCTCCTAAACAAATTAAACTGTATTTTAGTTTTTGTTACTGTAGTAGTTAGGTTTGTAGTCATTAAGTTGTTTATTAAGCCTTTATTTATTGTTATCATTATTTATTATTGTATTACACACCTAAATTTCTCTTTGTCATTTGAATTGTTTCAAAAAAAAGGGGGGGGGGTGAAGAGGGGAAGGGAAAAAAGAAGGGCAGGGAGAAAAAAAAGTAGAAAGAGAAAAGGAAAAGGAGAAGGAAAGGAAGAAACAAATTATTATTACTTTTGGTTGTAATTCTTCAAATGACAAGGACATTTTTTAGATGTGTTTCAAATTTAAGACCAACAGTACTGATTGTAATTGAGTGATTCTCTCAGAAACTTAGACTGCTCCATTCGGCTAGGCTCCGTCTTGTAGATTTGGGCAGCCCATTTCTTAGTCATGGAATATTAATTCCATCGTACTAATTAATGTTTACTTTCTATCATTTTGATTCGTTTTTTTGATACTCGATTGGTTTTTTTTAAATCTTTTCTTTGTATTTTGTGAAATGTAGCTTGTTATTTGGATGCACCAGATGGTGTGTGCCACTGATACAAAATGTTCCAATAAAGTTAAGTTCAGTTCAGGCGGCGTTCCGGGAAACCTGCGACTAGCTCATGACGTATGCACGCTAACTATATTGTGAGTGACGTCACCAAAATATATATTTTAAAAAAATATATTAACCAAAATATTAATAATTACAAGGTTTGTGGGCGTCAATTCCCTTAATACGAATTAAGGGTAGCAGAATCTCCTTGCCATACAAATTACAGCTCCCACTGACTTCTCAGTCGAGAAATACGGGTAACTGAATTTTTTCTCGCAAATCTGACTACGAAACCATATCGAAATTTCACGTTCCACTTGACTCTGAGTTGTGCTCTGCACACGCCGCTGAGGGCGGCGTTTCGGCAAGTCTGCGTCAAAGGTTAAATGGGAGTGGTGCCAGAATTTTCCCGTCGGAGAAGGTGGGTGGGGGGGGGGGGGCCCCCAGGGAAGTAGTGATGTCCCCGACGATAGCAAGGGCATGGTCGGGTGTTGCTCAAAACAACAGTACTGAAAAATAATGGCCTATCGTAGGTCCGCGCTCCATCAGTCAAACGAGGCCCAGTACCATAGACCTCGTGTGACAAGCCCATTAATTTGACAAGTTTTCACTCCGATGTCCAGAACTTGACACACGTTCGATCCGCTCGAGTAGGCCTGCGTCGATCTGCTCGAGTCGGCTCTGTTTTGGTTGGAAAATTTATAAATAATCTTCTAAAATCTGCATCTTATTTCCGATTAGTAGGCCTACCAAATTCAAAGAGGACCGAGATACATGTAAGAGTTTAATGTGTGAAAATTTGAAGTTAATCGGTCCAATCGAGTTATGCGCCAGGAAGAACACACACTCACACACATACCCACACCCACACACCCCCACACAGACAAGCGCTATTGCAATTAATACCCTTTGCCCCTTTGGGCAATTCTAACCTCTGCAATAATTATTACATTGTCAAACCTGGGTGCTTCTCTGTGACCACTCTTCCAACAAGTTTTCTCATAACGGCCAAAACTTCTTCACTCAACCAGGTAAGAATAATCCAAGTCTTTATATTTCGGACGTTGGGAATCACCAGGGCAATCTGAGGGAACAAAACCCTCGACCCTCTGTTGGAAAAAGTAGAGAACACTCCATCTTTACAGTCTTTGATGATTTATTATATGAAACTGTATCATTTTATATACTCTTTGCATGAGTTCATAGAAAATGAATACTGTATTGATTTCATAACGTTTTATGGTTTAATTGAAACATCATGACTTTATTTTAAATGCAACATATGCAGATAAAACAAAGAGTATGCCTTTTAATTTTGATGTTATTAAAGATGTTATACTATTTGAACATAAAAGGGTAAATGACAAGCATATATAAAAATGGCAAACAACAGAATACTGTCATAAATGATAAAGAATGGTCGATAACACCTTATTGTACTGTCTATACAATATTAAGATGGCATCCAAAGTGTTAAAGAAAAAGCAGTAAATCACATTTTAATTACCGCAAGGTATTACATATATTGGGAAAATGAACAACGAGAGGCCGAATGTAAATAATTTTTTTTGAAAACTTTTGAAAATTACATAACGGAAAAATATAAGCCCATTGCTTGTGTAAATTCAAAATTAAGATCATGGTATAAACTAAATGGGATAAGTTACATTTTATGTTTAAGTAATTTTTCATTATTTTTCTTTTTTCCCGCATCTAGAGGTGTTTATTTAAAAAAAATAGCAGGCGGACACTGGTATAACATATCCCTCTTCGGGGTAGAGAGAATGGAAGATGGATAGGAGGGGGAGAGGTCTCAAAGCAGTTACAAATCTTATGGACAATAAAGAAATTTAGAACATCAATATGTTTCTAGATTTCGAAACAAATACACTGTATTTTACATAAAATAATATAGGCCTACGAATTACTTGATTTGGTCATTTTTAAGGAATAATACTGTGTTCAGTTATCATTGGCGGGTTCAAGAGGAACCCAGTAAAAAAAAAAAAAAAAAAAAAAAAGATAAAAAAGAAAATTTTAAGAGCATCCGGCCATCTGGAAAGGTGTACTCATAAAATTTCTTGCATCAGCCCCAACCATGGTGGGGCTGAGGTGAGTGGGTTCTCTATCTGTAAAAATCCCTCCCAGGTCCCCTCTATTACGAATTCCTGGATCCGCCATTGGTTATAGCATTGTCAAATAATGTGTGCTTGCCCACTCTATAGCATGTTCCTTCTGGTCTTGATTAAAACAGGTAAGAATAGTGCATCAGGACGGTGACATTAAGAATTTATAGCGCCACCAATCGTCACTGCCTCAAACGTCCAGGGGAAAAAATCGCTTTCGGGCATAAGGTGCTACCTAAGCTTGTTTAGCCAAGGATCGTATACCTTCTTGGTTCAACGTTTTCCCACAAACTGGTGGGGCTGAGGTCTGGAGAAACTTCGACCCTTTTCTGGCGCCGCCACTGTTAGCCCTAAAATAATGCTCTCTAAGATGAAGTTGCAGGAGGAGGATCGGGGTGAGGATTTAGCCTGGTTTCCATAGAATCGCTACAGTCGAGCGTTTACACCCGCTCCCTGATTTAACTGACCAATCACCGACGCCAAAGAAGTCGGCGAGCCTGTAGAGATTTTTATGGAAACCAGGCTTTTCTTCTCGCTGGCTGAAGCAATAATACTTACTTCATATGGACCTGTACACCGATATCCATTTTAAGAGAAAAAAAATATATAAATTTAAATGAAATATTGTTATTTTTTAATCTATTGTAGTTGTAGTTATACAATATTGTAGTTTTAGTGATATAATGTGATCGATAAAATGTGTCCTCTGCTTATAATAGGGCGCAGTGTATTGATTTGACCATTTGGCACACTCAGAAAGTCTCTTTATTGTGTTGAAAGATATATTTCGCCACGTTTCACGGATCTCTGTACCCGCCCCTGAAAGTGGCCCTGAATAGAGGTGTCCCAAAAGAATTTCGAATGGTTTGTGACTGTCTTTCCCACAAAATGGTACAAATTTTATATTTGGATATATTTTAATTAATACAGTGATCAAATGATTAGGCCTATTTATTTATCAAAATTATTATAATTATCGATATTATCATTTTTATTATATTATTTAGGCCTATATTATTATTATTATTATCATTTAATACAATGTATATATTATAACATAGTCATGTTATTATTAAATTATGTTATTAATTATCATAATTATTATAATTATACTTCTGATTATAATAATCATTATGAACATCTTTTACGGTATTATTCTTTGTTATGAACTACAGTGTACACACACCCTGCTGCTCCATAATACGTCACAAACAGACGCGACGCCATCGCTGGTCGTACCACGGTATAGTGTTTGTTTGTTACAGACTTGTAAACATGGCTACCCACGAAGACCCTTATTCTATCAGTCGTTTTCGGTGGCTTATAGTATGCTTGGCCAATGACATTACTAACCGTGAGCTCAAGAAGGCTAAGTCGCTGGTCAGAGACAGACTTGGTGCTAAAAACTACGAGGATGTCAAGGATACCTTTGATTTCTTCGATAAGCTCCAGGAAGGAAATCATGTCCACGAAGGGGATACACTTTTGCTGCGGCATATCCTATCCGAGATCGGCCGAATTGACTTGATAGAGGAGCTTAACAAATACGATTCTGAGTATGCTGTTGTTGCTAGACATTATCGTTTACATCCAGCAGCATCTGAAGGCCCGTTCATCGGTAGAAAGAAGCGGCTAGACGAGCTTTTCAATTTGCTGCAAAAAAAACATGAAGATGGAGTGGCAACCATCTGCATCAGTGGACTTCCGGGTATGGGTAAAACCAGATTAGCAACTGAGGCCTGCTATCGTCAGAAAGAGTACCAAAAATTGCTGTTTGTTGACCTTCGAGAACTGTCTACAACTGAGAGTATCTTTTTTGCAGTAATGCGCGCATTGGGCGAAGATGCATCGATTAACATTGATTTAGATTTTGTGATTTTAAAGTTGAAACAGTACAAAACGCAGAAAGCCGGTACGTATGTAATGAATGTTAACTACAGACAGGAAATCCTACTTAGATTTAGGTGGCCAAGCCAGGGACCTGCTTCCTGCCTCGTGCCTCGAAACCAGTACAGCATAAATCACACCACCGGGGATTTTGCTTGTAGTGGGCCTAAACAGCAAATTTTCACGCTAAATCTGTAATTGTTGAAAATTTACAAGCATTGCAGGTGCTTAACAGTTCAGTATCAGATTTTTAAAAAATTTATTTTTTTGCAACGCTGGTTTGAACCCTCAACCCATAAAGCTATTAAACTTATAGTACGGCAGCTTAGAGCCATATTTGGACTTAATGTGGACGTTCCGGACAAAAGCACCAATTTTTTTTTACATGCCCCTTATGGTCATAGCATTCAATTTTTGGTAGGAACCACCTCATCCGAGGTCATTATGGCGGCCATCTTGGATTTCAAAATGGCCTCCTAATAAAACCTACGTTTATCTATATCTCCGCTTCTAAACCACTTGGAATTATAATTCTAATGTCTAAGAGTATGTTTATATGATTGAGGAATACCATCATATCATTTTTGACCTGGTCAGATTGCCACAAATGTGTCATGTAAGGTCATTCAAGGTCAAATATTGTATGGTATCTTTAAAATTACGTAATTGTCAAATTTTACATTAGAATCATACCCAGGCTCTCAGAATTCAAACTTTATACTATGAACTACAATATTTCATTCGAGGTCATTCTGGCAGCCATCTTAAATTTCAAAATGGCTGCCACGTAAAACCTATATTTATCAATATATCGGCTTTTAAACAACTTCCAATACCGGTAAGAATTATGATGTCTAAAAATATATTTTCATGGTCAAGGATTTATAGCACTTGTGACATGGTCAGATGGTCAT